CTGTTCTGTTGTACCGGTCTTTTACCTATTAGGGCTCGGGTATTCTACAGTGGCGTCGGATTAGGGCGCAGACATATTGGTCCGCGCTGGCCTCAGCCAATCCGGTGTCGCTCTGCGTTCCAATGCCATGCGAGGAGGACAGGCAGCCAACCAGATAAGGACACGACTGAGGTGCAGTATATAATGAGCGGCGTGGCCAGCGTCGTGGACGCGGATGGAAGGCGCCTGACGCGTGGCTCTGGCTTCTGATTGGTCAATAAAGGCTGTTCTGTTGTACCGATCTTTTACCTGTTAGGGCTCGGGTATTCAACATTGGTGGCAGCGGATGCGTTAGAATAACGCGAATCGAACCCCAGCCCTTTTTCTTCTATGGTCAACAGAGGCAAAGACCCTTGAATGCCAGCTGAAATTGTCATGGCGGTCATCCGATTTCCCATACACTGGATCCATCGACATTGCCCGGGATTAGGACTACTGCATCTGAAGAGGCATTGGCAACTCAGCGACGTCGACTTGGGCAGTGGAAGCCAGCTGGACTGCATCTGCGAATGGACCTTCAATGGATGATGAGTTCTTCCTGCAAGTCTACAAGAGCAAAGTCCCTCGTCAACTATTCGCATGGGCCACTAACCTGCCAGATGTGGGGTGGGGGAGTGTCGAACTGGATATTTTACCAATACTGGATATCAACAACAATGCAAGGAATCAAGCCAGAAGCTGAGGACAGCTTCACTCCTGAGGGGGAGGCAGTGTTGCATCGGATCAGGGCGCAGACATATTGGACCACCTGACCTCAGCCAATTCTGTGTCCCTCTGCGTTCCAGTGGCATGCGAGAAAGATAAGCAGCCAACCAGAGAAGGACACAACTGAGTTGCAGTATATAATGAGCGGCGTGGCCAGCGTCGTGGACTCGGATGGAAGACGCCTGACGCGTAGCACAGGCTTCTGATTAGTCAATACAGCCTGTTCTGTTGTACCGGTGTTTTTACTATTAGGGCTCGGGTATTCTACAGTGGCGTCGGATTAAAACGCAGACATATTGGACCACCTGGCCGCAGCCAATCCTGTGTCTCTCTGCGTTCCGATGGCCTGCGAGGAAGACAAGCAGCCAACCAGAGAAGGACATGAATGAGGAGCAGTATATAATGAGCGGCGTGGCCAGCGGCGTGGCCAGCGTCGTGGACTGGGATGTAAGGCTCCTGACGTGTGGTTCAGGCTTGTGCTCAGTCAAAAAAACCCGTTCTGTTGCACTAGTCTTTTCGCGCAAGGCCTCGTGTATTCTACAGTTGTTGGCAATAAGGGGCAGACATGCTTGATTCAAGCTGACGTGGGCGCAACACAAGTGGTGGAGTTACCAGCAGGATCCAAGAATTTTCAAAAATGTCGTAAACTCACTCTCTTTGAAATGTACAAAGGCAATCGATTAGCAATATGCTTTTTAATGAACTGAATTTATGGCTATTTTGCCGTAAAAATGGAAACCAATCTATTCATATGATTTGAAATAACTCCTAGAAATACATAAACGTATTATAAATGGCAGAACAGACTTTTCATTTAGTGCTTATTCGCAAGACTTAAATATGCCAAAATTCTTTTTTTACTAAACAGGATTTAGGCTTGGATGCTTATCAATGTAATAGTTAAAGGCATTATTTAAACGAACGAAAAGGACCCGAACGATTTAAATCCTAGCTCGGTTCATTACAAAAAAACGTTGGGCATTTTTTAAAACCTAGACTAATTTGCAGATTCAAAGGAAAAAAGACCCATAATAAACTACTTCTATGCATAAATTTTCAGTTACCTAGGTTTTAATTGGTTAGGAAATTTAATTATATTCTTAACTTTGTACGAGTAGTTGAGTATTCTTTAAAGTTAAACCCAAGATACCCTACATCAAGAAATCGCAATGTTAGAATCAGTATACTCAATCGCAAAAATCTAAAAATTTCACTGTGTTTAACAATATCTAGTAAAATTGGGTGCATCACAAGACAATCAATCACATTTTGTGTTTTCGAAATGGATACCTTTGTTTAGGAATCTATTCCACGACGAAGTTTGTGGCTTTCAGTATTTAACCATAACGCAACCCACAAAAATTATAAACCACCCAATTGATCTTATCTCCCAACATTCCATAGGATAGTTGTGAACTGTATTTGAGCTGAAACTTCTCAAATTAATGATTATCTGATTTATTTAGACTTGTACCCCCATAATCATAAATGAACCTTACATCTTTACTGATTGCTATTATGGGTGTTTGTAAGAACTTAAGTAAGTCGTATTTTTAGATAACTATGATGCCTTTCCAGCTAAACTTTGCTTACATTGTTTTTTTAAAGACTGGTCCCTGGACTACCTTGCATCACATCGACTTCACCTGCGTATTACTTGTCCTACAATGAAACAGCCTCACCAATTTCGTACAAGAATGCGGCACTGAGCCATCCACTTAAGTACGCGATGAGAAATTTTTTATAACCTACCATGACCTCCAATCATTTTACAGATTTGTTGCTGACGCAATTTTTCTGCTAAATTTTTGGGTCATGTACTAGGATAATAACACCAAACATCGTGTGCTATGCTGTGCATAACTTTATACAACTTGAAATAAGTTTGGTGCTTTAATGTTTCACGACTTGCTACTTAAGAAGTAATTAATGTGAATGTATAAATCAGAAAGTTCATTGGATCAGTAAAGTAACATTTCATCTATGAAATCTACTATGTTAATCGCGAAGTATTTGTTCTCCGAACATTTCAACTAATTTTCTCACTAAATCAACAAAACACCAATAGCTCTGATATGGTGCACATACGTTTACTAGTTACTTTTATTCTTTACACTTTTTAATCTATATAAATACCACTTATGCCCTAGCGAACATCCAAACTTGAATATCTATTTATTTAAAATCGCTGATTCAAATTAGTACTGGTCTCAAGTACTTGTAAACACGAACTGTGTACAGCGTCATACTTAGAAAAAAGCTACTAATTGATAGAGTATTCTTAGTTCTCAATACCCTTGTACCAGTATTTGACTTAATTTTAAAAATTTTTAAGCAAATAGTAATGTATCTGATTTCGATTGCATAGATTTGTGGTGCAAAGCGGAATTGGGCTCGCCGTGGACGAATTACCGTCTAGAAATTTTGTATTATTTTACTGGTTATTTGACCTAATTCCTATTTTTCTTCACAGCATATCCTGATGACAGTTGAACCGTGTCTAATCTTGAAAGTAACAAACTTTAACTATGCACCAGAAAGTGCACTACAGACCCACGATCTGTACACATCATTCGAAATTTCTATTTCCAGTTTTACACAAGTGATGACCGTAACTTAATGCCACTCGGAGGGGTATTGTGACACTTGGATATTCAACTGCAATCCCATAATATTCAGTAGCAATGGTAAAATCTAGAGCTAAAAGTTATCATCATAAAGGCAAAACAAGCAGCATTGTAGTGAAATAGATACCCCTGAAAAATGTCATTCTAATTACAAATTAGATCGACAAAAGGTAGCGTAAAATGTTTACAAAATTTGGTACAAAACAAATTTACAGCCTTTCTGATGTGTCCTCGTCTCCAATCCCCATTTCCTGTTCTTTACGAAAAACCAGACAACATACGAGGAGAACGGAAAACCCACTCAGTGATAAACAAGCGGCCAGGAGATTTGCACTGTAGTATGACCCAGATAAGTCGAGCATGCTGCCTACATGTGGATATAATTACAGAAGTCATTTAAGCGGGTTAAATAAATAAAAAAAAGTGGAATATGAAATCTCGTATTCTCTTGTCTAAAAAATACCTACAATGTTTAAATTTGCCTGAAGCTGATTATCCCGGCGACGATGTTTATGCTTAAATAGGAATGGCAGTAGCGTCATGATTGTAAGTTTCCGCCTCTATAATTGATCAGGGAGGAGATAATATTTGCCTAGCTACAAGTTTTGATGAAGCTCCTTCATTTGTCGACAATTAATTTAAAAACTTTCATAAAAATGAGCAGATTGTCACACAGCTTAAGCTCACTATTCAGATATTTTAAAACGAATAAATGTTTGACTAGAGTGGCTGAAATCCAGCGTTAAAGGGAATGGAGGATTTGTACAGCTAAAGCAGATATGAGTTGTGCCCCTCTGAAGCTGAGCAAAATCAAAAGGATTCACACCCGAGATAAAAACTAAAATATGAATTGTTGGTAAATTAGTAACTTCATCGTGTGAGGCTTTTTCAAATAAACCAAAGACACCCTCTCAAAGGATGTCGTCAATGTGTTTTGTAAACAATGCGCTAAGCCCCATGTCATTTTTTTCCTTAAAACGGTTACCATTCCTTTATAACCGATTAAACGATGCTAAATAAAATTTCACTAGATCGACTTATTTGTAATACAAAAAGACATTTTATGGAATGCTGAAACGGGCCTCGATTTTATATCTGAATGTGGCAACCATCTGTCAATTATGCAATAACTCATCGTCAACGCATTACCAAGGTGATAAATTAAATCTTTGGCCAGAGGCAGATCATGATATGTACATTAAAATAGATTTACCGTGCATAAACAAAGGCATAGCTAATAAAAATTGGCTACATTACCTCCGGCCAATGTCCCCGCCAGATTAAAGGCACCCGTTATACAGAGGCTGATGCCTAGTCCAGCAGGAAAATTTATCTCTTCTAGAAGATATTCAAGCATGGGTCCCATTATTGTCATGAAGGCTCCATCAGTAACGCCCAGGAAAAAGCAGATCACAGCAAACACACGGCCAGCAGTGGTCAAGAAGATAAATCCCTCTCCTCCGTAATCAACAGAAGACGGAGTGGGAGCGTATGTGAAGCCCAGAGTCATCACACCATTCAAAAGAAGAACGATGGTAAAAATTAAAGTCAGGTTACTTCTGCTGAAGCTACGACGTGACCGTGCAGTACAGCCCGATGGATGGTGTGTTTTCGAGATAATGAATCCAAATAAAACTTGACCTAATACGGAAAACAGCATCGATTATTAACATTTAAGAATACGTTTTGCATTGGTAAATAACTTTTTCAACGTGTGACTGGAGGTCTAGAAATGCAAAACTATTTCATGATGAAGAACTTAAACGCAAGTTGGTTATTACTATAAGATACGGGTACAACACAACCTAATTAAAGTGTGTCAAACACTTTATAGCAAACAAGTAGCTTGAAGTTCAAGACAAGTTACCAAGGAACTCGTTTAGTGCTAGAAAAAAACCACATTTACTTGTCATTTAAACATCACGTCTGTATTTTCACTACGACTGTGAAAATACACCACTGAAATAATGAAACCAACGCGTAGGGCATGAATTAAAAACGGCGATGGAATTGACTGAATGAGCAGAGTACATCATGATCCCTAGGCATCGCTAGAATTTTTAGTCCTTTTCGAATACGCTTAACTAGATGGCCAATGCGATAATACGTTTTATGCGTCAGGAGAAAGATAATAAATTCCTCACTTTATCCCTTATCAAAATCGCTAGAACGTAACAAGACAATGATAAGTCGCATAGTAACATAGACAAAGACTATGGATTTTCGTGTTGGTGACATCAGAACAACGTTAATCTACTACGACAAAAATAAAACATTTTTACAGTTCGTAACGAAGCTATTCCAAGTACAATGGAAGCTTAAATAAAGAAATAGATGTCCGTAAACACGCTATCTAGCATACTTTACTGATTGTAAATTCTAAAATGTAATCACGATGTTGTGGAGCAATTTTGTTTAGCGTAGCTGTGGTCAATCTATTTGGTAAGTTGCTTTACAAGGTAGTCTATGAATTTCCCCACATAAAAATACTATCAGATTTCTTCATTCTCTTAAAAATTGCTAAAGCTGAAAGAAGCTGCTAACACAAGTTACAATTAGTGTCGAATGGGATTCATTGACAAAGAGCACTGAGATAATAGGGATCATTCAGCCCCATAATGTTCAAATTGTTCTCAAACCGACTATTTACAAAAAATGACTGAAATTTCACTATCACTAAAAGAGACCTTACTATAAGACCAAACTTCCTCACCTCATTAATGGGCTGGATGGGGCTACAAAATAACATCCCAACTTCTAGGTATTCCAATTTTAATCCAGTGGTTCTGGCAATCAAATAAATTGATTGTCTCTAAGGTGGAGTAATATGATAAAAATTTTGTATTCTGCTCACTTGACTAATCAAAAAGAACTAAAATGTCAGCTATAACCTATACAGGACTAAAAAAATTTGAGGGAATTCATACCGGCACAAGATCCGAGACCAATCAGTGAAGGATACCAGGCTAGTTGAGTTTCCGCCAAAAGGCCTACAGCAGAGTCTGCTTCAATACCTAACAGCCATTTCGATCGAATGTAGTCATAGGCAAACGTCCACGGTATGACAACGCCCGCAGCAGCAACCCCGTTTGTGAAGACATAAATAAGAAAAGGGGCATTAGTCCAGATCTCCGGGGATAACAGCCTAGCCAGACTCTGACCAAGACGAAAGCAAAAACTGTCTACTCGGACTGAGAGGGCTTCTTTGGAGGCCACTTCCGAATAATCCAGTTTGTGAGCTCGAGGCCGCAGGTGAGATGGTGTCAAGATCATGAAAATAGGGCATAAATACCACAGCTTCCTAAGTCGATCCACAAGCCTTCGGCAACTGGAAATGGCTAAAAATATTATTTATGCAATTACGAAGGAGGCAAGGTCTTAAAAGTTGTTTTGCTAAAAGTTTGTTTACAAAGGTTTAGGTTAAATAACACGCTGCAGAGCGGACGGGAACTATGAACTAACATGGAAATAGAGTACCTTTTATTTTTTGTGATTTTTGCCACTCAGAGAAAAGAACTCGGCATTTCCAAGAAATTTGCCTAACTTCGACTCGATATTAACTAGAAAGACCCATTTGAATAATTATTCCGAGATGTAAAGTAAAAAATCCATTGCCCCTTACAATAAATCCGGTTCTGCTAAACAATGAGACAAGTTCTATAAGAAAAAATTCCAATAAATTATTCTGCTGTCCCTTTCAAGTTTGCGTTGCTCTAAACACGCGTTTAGCGGATCTGACGGATATAATTGTAGAGACGTATTTACTTTTACCCAAACGACTAGCGTTAGGTCCTTACGCGTATACATTATATCAGCGTATGTGTGGTGTAGGACTCCGACGACGAGATTAAATTATGGTACAGGGTGAGGGACTAAGGCTATCGTTAAACGAAAATTGCGGTACCCAAAAATGAGGATAGTGGGGAGAGTTTATAACCTTTCCGGCTGAAAAGAGTGCTGTAGTGGTCACTGACAATCAGGTAAATGAACATAAAATGATCACTATGAGTGTTGTTAATTGCCGGGGAGAATCATGACGACTGCGACGATGTGCTTGAATTTTGTCAGGTCGTTCCGGTTGATCACTAAATGCAACAATTTCAAAATGTTTTCAGTTTTACACTAGTAGAAAAATTCACCTTAATACAATCACAGTTTGATTAATGAGCATTTCAACCGACAACGAATAGTTGCGTCGAACAACAATAATAACTCATCGTACGAGAAAGAAAAGTTGGTTAATTTGTAAAGACATTGTTGCCCTATATAGAACTTGTACCATCGATTACGACATGAACCCAAGACGATTCAGGGGTATAGTGTAAGGAATTTCGATGCTAATGACGCATCTTGCGTCAGAGTCGGTTGCTGAAAAAAACGGAAGTCGACTAGCAAAATTTTAAATGCAAAAATTCCGCGTAAATTTAAATTCATAAATAGTTACCTGTGAATGAACGAATCGATTACACGTATGTCAAGTAGTTGGGGTGTCTAATAAGCTGTGTTTTAAGAAGATAGTTTGAGCACATCATTTTTTAGTAAATTCATGTGAATTAAAATGTACCGATGCACTTGAACCTAGTTGCGTTAAATTCCATCATGGAGAAGTGCTGAAAGCATTTTGGGTAGAATTCCCGTGATTTAACTGTGAGTTGGCCAACTGCGCTGCATTATTGGACTTGGAGAAAGTACAAGCCTATGAAAAGACGCTAACTTCCAATCAGCATAAAAACAGCGCTCCCTCAAGTAGCAAAGACATGTGGATATGCACTTACCTACAGAAGTATTGGCTGAATGACTTTCGGGATCGCATTGCTGAGCATCTGCTCTAAAAAACAAAACGAAATTTTTAAAAATCACTTCAGCAAAAACAAAGGCAACAGAAGAAGCAGCTCAAAAGAAATGAAATATCAATGAATCGCCAGTATTATCAGCTGTGTATCATTTCGACCCTGGTATTTCTGTAACAGTGATTTACTTGTAGTTGCTTTCTAAGGTCACTTAAAGTGGAGTCTTCACACATTACAGCGCACCTAGGCAAACGTACAACCAACCCCAAAACAATTGCACTTTGCCCAAAACGTTTTGCTGTGTAACGGAAAGAAACTCGTATCAGCTACACAAAAACGAGTAATCATGATATTTTGCCCGTCTTCACTGTTCAAGTTTACGTAGAACTAAATGAGCTGAAACCTTGCTTACAAGTCATTAGCCAATAATTTGCAATCTCCAGTGCTTAACAACAAAGGCTTACTAATTTATGCACCCAATTTGTCACTTCACCTCGTATTGGAGTTGCCATAAACTGGTTTCATAATAAACCTTGTTTCAAGGAGCTAATCAAAGGCAAAATATAAGTGTCCGTAGTCAGTGCAAATTCGTTCTGCACATATAATCAATTCATGTATTTATGTTCGGTGCTTGCTGGGAATGGAGCACACTCTGGGTCAGGCCTTAACTTTCCTAACTATCTCAAAGATTGCAACAGACACAGTGCAAGTTCTGAACTGCTAGTGGTGCTAACACAGAGAATTAGCGAATTTGTTTCGATACACCGAGTTATTCAGGGTGGCAAAGCTGCGTAACTCATTAGTCCGCAAATATTTTTTGGAAATAAAAAAGATCGATATAGGAGGTTTTACAAATGTTTTGGAAAGCTATGCAGTCGTAATATATTATTGACAAAACCGTAAGGATACGTGAAAGGACAAACTTAGTCACGATACTACGTCACTTGGCTACCAGACATGTAATCATCAGATACTAGATGCAAAAAGTAATTTGTTAAAGTAACAGTGTTTCACATTAAAACGCAACTTATTGGAAAGGTGCAGCAAAGGACAAACTGCCACTGACATACCAAATAAGCCTAAATTAAAAAATAGGACAACATGAACCCACGTGAGTCCACGTTCATGCTGAAACTAACATTTAAGCGTGAAAAGGCTTTAGATAAGCTGGTCGCATAATCGAAATATCGTTAGCGATTGCTCGCAGCATTGTGGTAACAAATAAACGGCTCAGCATTTTAGCTATGCACACCAAAATACCCTTAAGTAAATCATTTGGTGGGTAATACGGTTGTCAGTGCAAGCGGATGGTCTACTCAAAGTAACTAACTGCCACAATACACCATTGTCTCAATCGTTACATACGATTACGAGCCCATTTATTTCTCAAAAGTATGGCGTTGGGCTTGAAATTTGTGCAGAACACGCCAAAACTAGTTTAGTACAAAGATAGTTAATTACTTCTAATAGGTGTATCTGATGCCAAGCATGCCATAAGACAGTCAAGGCAACTCGTGTCTGTCTAAATATTTCATTTACTTAATGGTCGTCAATAATCCTGTTATAACTATTAAAAAATATGCAAACAGTGCCGACTACCAAGTAGAAATGAGTGAAGAAGGCTAAATTAGTGAAATGAAAATAATTAAGAAGTTAGTAGCTAAATTGGAAGTAAGGAGTAAGTAGAAGGGTGTCAGAGCAATGATATTTTTCCAATTCCACAAGTCGTTCATGGCTAAGTGAAAGCAAAAGGTAGAACAATCGTAACATAGGGTAGAGCAGCAAAACTTACAAAACCAACCTGTTAGAACCCTCCGTTTCATGAAGTTCTGGAATTAGACAATACAGGCTTGCATTAGCGTTGGAGGTCAGTACATTAAATAGTTTAAAAATAGAACAAGCAAGAATTGTTTAATTCATTACTTCGAAACTAGTTTTCCACTTTCCCCATAAACCCGTGTTTTAAAGACTGGTGAATAACACTGAACGTAGAATTCCAACGACTATGGAGACGAATATAAGTCAAATTAAATCGCTACTCAAAGGAAGGGTACTTTCTAGAAATCAGGTGGCCAAATTAGTATATTCCACTTTCTAGACATTTTAACTTCCAAATACGTCAAAAACTTTGACTGACATTCGCACCTTATCCATCTCAAGAACCCAATTTGTTCTGGGCATAATCGTGCAAAAGAAAACGTATGTGTCAGTGAAAATCGAGGCTTACACCTTAGGTTCCATGAAGGTGACTGGAGCGGCATGCATGGTGAATAGTTTTATTGGTAAGTACCAGGTTTAAAACGGAATAATCTTCATTTCATGAGTAATATCAACTTAATCTTACAAAAATTTCATTATCCAAGAGCTAGGTTTAGTGAATTCAAAAAATACAAAGCTGTCTGTCCCTATTAAGTAGCCAATAGACCAATTGCAAGTCCATCATAAATCACACTAGGAGTTAGGACATAGTGAAGTTAGAGAATTATGCGAGTGCTTGAAGAAAAAAACACGGGGCCATTTAATTACGCATAAAAGCAATTACCAATTTATTAAATACACATAACCGTGAATACTCCTGAACCCAAGATTAGGGATCAGCATCGCATTTGACCTACAACAAAGGCTCTTTCATTAACCTGACAGACCTACTACGCAGCTATTATTCGTCAAAACTATTAACTCAAGCTTTCTCACATACATGGCTAACTGTTTTAAACGCAGGCAACAAACGGAAGCAGCCCGATGTTACAAGATAGGGAAGTAACTGCTAGAGTTTTCAGATTATTATGCAATATGAGGTTCTACCTCAAAGCACTTCGTAAAATGGTGCGCATCGTTTTTTATCATCTAAAATGTGCTTAAACATTATAAAAGCAGCAGTGGTAAATAAATACGGAACTAACACTACTGAAATGAAAAAAAAGCAAGGAATCCAGCCAATATTTTCACTGTCAGATTACGTGATCATGCCTTGTGAACATTAAAATACATGAAAATTCAGACAAACATGGTAAATATAACCCCGTAAACGAAGGTGAAAGCATAATATGCCACAGTTACAACAGTAAAGTGACGTAGGCGCAAATGGCTTTTCATTTTATATACGTAACAATTTAAAGATGTCCCAACAAAAGCAGAAATTGTGGATTTGATCCAAAAAACTCAAATTACTAGATATATTAGGTAGTTAATAGCTTAGGCAACAGAATGGCCATACCTTTTGGCAAAAGGTGGCGTTTTCAACAAATCTTGAAAAATTTGTCAGATTTATGTTTGTGACAACTTTGCGTTAATACTAGAGAAAAACCTTATGCCACGATAAGCCTATTCCAAACAAGCCAGGAGTTGCAACTTCATAATAAGGATGAGAAGAATTGTGACAGATAGACAAAACCAAAAACACAACTTCAACAGAATGGCCTTAAGTACGTAATCAACTTTTTATCATAGCTTCATTCCAAGGTCAACGGAGGCGATGAAAGT